CCAGAGATGAAGTCTCACTTTGGTTCAGGCTGGTCTTAAACTGATGAGCTCAAGCAGTCCACCTGCCTTGGCCTCCCAGAGTGCTAGGATTATAGGCATGAGCCATTGCGCCCAACCCTAACAAATACTTTCTTAAAGTACCTGGCACAACAGAGGGGCTTCCTGGTGAAAACAATTATTAGTATTATTATTTTTTGGCTGGGGCTGGGTTTGAACCCACCACCTCCAGCATAGGGGGCCGGCGCCCTACCCTTTTGAACCACAGGCGCTGCCCCGAAAACAATTATTATTCATATGTGAAGATAATATGGGTCTGCATAAGTAGGTTGTCAATAGCATTTGAGTTCTCCTGGAATTTTTACGCCCATGTGCGTAGGACTTGGTGAGTCTGAGATGAGCTACTAAAGAAGTATAATTTAAATCAAAGTAAGAGCTTTGATTTATCCAGCCATCTTGTTGATCTTGAGCATAAATATTTAACACTTAGCCTGGAAAAGAGCCACTTAGCATCCAGAGCTTATGTCGCAATAAGGACCCTACCTGTTTACTCTGTGACCTGGTTTCTCAAAATCAGAAGTAGCAAATTAACATGGAATAGAATTTTCAGAGATTGCTGTTTATAATTTGATAGTGGGACAGAAAGAGAAATACAAAAACAGGCTTAATGTGTAAAACAGAATATTTAGCTCTTGTACATATTAGCTTGGTGAGTCACTATATATATTGCAATAAAATATTTGAAATTCATTATGCTGACTCTAAGTCATTATTATTGAAAGGTTAAAAGATCTTTTGTATCTTATATCTAAAAAAAGAATTTATAATTTATACTTTATAAGGATTTTAATCCAGAATGGGGGGGAAACCTAAGGATTATGGCATTAAAAGAGAAGAACGTCAGTTATCTAGCAGTTTACTTATGTGGGCCACTTAGTTCTGTTTCTAGTTGTGTAAGAAACAGTTTCTGGTTTCTATGGCCATATAGCATAGGTTTGAAATCCATGAAACGGTCATAGTCATTTATACAGATATAGGAAGCACTGATGTGTGTTTTGACTGGTATGTAATTCATATGTATTATGTTAGTTTGCTCTTTCTCGATTTGAAGTATTCTATAGATGAGAAGACTGGAGCTCAGAGTGGTAAAAGAAATCTGTTGAGGTCTTACAGATGTGGGATTAAAATCCACATTTTCTGATTGCAAATCTAGTACTTTCTCTGCTTTCTTAGGGTAGAAGCACCTCTAAATTCAGGTAACCATTCAAAGCAGTACAGAAATAGGTTTCCTGAGAAGTCCAGACCATAAGAGATAATTGACATCAACAAAGAGATTTGTGGAAACTGGATTTTGTCCAGGAAGACCTTTTAGATGGGAATGGATCTTGAGCTAGACCCTGAAGCTTTTACTGGGAAGTAGATAGGTGGAGACGAGGAGAAATTGTGTTCCAGGTACAGTCACATGAGCAGAGAAATAGGGGAGAGAGCAGCACGGTGTTTGTGGGCAGAGGATTCTTCAAACTTGGATAACCAGTGAAAGATAAGACTTGCTGCGGGGGAGGGGGTCAGACCAGAATATAGGAAACTTGAAGTCTTTGGTTTTAACTTTTCTACTGGAAATACCTCAAACATTTGAAAGAGCATATAAATATGTATAGTTTAAATAGTAAATCTCACTTGTACTAATACCATAGCTTGAGTATCAAAGGTGATGATAACCAGGCAGTATGTCATATGGTATTGCCTTGTGTAGTTATTATTGTTCTATTAAATTACTCGTTCTTTATACACATATTTAGGGGTTTCATTTAGAAGGTAATGATCTGTGTATAACAGGTAGCCATGTTTCTTGACTCCAGTGATTGGGATAGGATTCTTTTTCATAAAGGCCTGGCTTATATCTTGTGTTTCACCAGTTTGGCTTTGACTTCAGGAAATAAGATTGTTACATCCATCTGAATTTAGAAGAAGATTCAGTGAAGCTGCAAGTCCAGTTTGGCCACATTAGGCAGACTCTTGAGTTCTGAAGTCAGTATCTTCTCTGTGCACTTAGTGTCTCGACTTGGCACTCTCACAAGATTCCTTTGACTCATCATGTCCAAGACTGAACTCATGGTGAAATGGAGTTCTTCTCCAAACTGGATCAGCATCGCATGTCTGTATGTCAGTTATGCACAGCACTGTGCTGCAGTGCCAGTCAGAAGCCTCGAAGTCATCTTGGCCCTCTCTTGAGGCCTTCCTAATGCTTAGTGTAGCCCTGGGCCTTGCTGAGGGACAGGAAGCAGCAGGGAGATCTGTGGGGAAGTGGCATGGGGTGGCAAGAGGAACCCTGATTTGGGAGTCAGGAAAACTGGGCTTTGCTTCACTTTTATGGATGTTCCCAAAACTAAGGCAGTTGTAATTACTTCAAAATGTTTTTTTTTTTTTTGACAGAGTTTTATTTTGTTACTTTGCTTAGAGTGCAGTGGTGTCATCGTAGCTCACTGCAGTCTCAAACTCTTGGGCTCAAACAATTTTCTTGCCTCAGTCTCTTGAGTAGCTGGGACAACAGGTATATGCTACCATCCGGCTAATTTTTCTACTTTCTGTAGGGGATCATGCTCTTACTCAGGCTGTCTCTAACGCCTGGGCTTGAGCAATCCATCCACGTCAGCCTCCCAGAGTGCTAGGATTACAGGTGTGAGCCATCATGCCCAGATAGCAAAATGGTTTTTTTAATTGAAGTTTTTTTTTTTTTTAATTTCTTCTACCCTTAATGGAGATAATAATAAACTTTATTTGGTGTTTGATGGGGTAATCTATGTGAAGCCTTTATTTTTGTTTTTTGTTCTCTGCTGATGCTGAAAATAGGACAGAGGATTAACCCACAGCTATTTCCTTCTTTAAACTTTAAACAGTGTTAAAACTATTAAGTCTTAAAATATTCAATATAGGAAATATTCAGTATTGAGCCAGGCACTGGCATGACTTGGATTATTTAGTTTAATCCTTACAAGAACCCTCTGAGTTATAGGTTCAGTTATTTCATTTTATAATTGATGAAACTGAGACTTCAGGCTTGGTGCCCATGGCATAGTGGTTACAGTGCCACATACACCGAAGTTGGCGGGTTCGAACCTGGCCAAGACCAGCTAACCAACAGTGACAACACTTGCCAGGTGTTGTGGCAGGCGCCTGTAAGTCCCAGCTACTTGGGACTCTGAGGCAGGAGAATCACTTGAGACCAAGAGTTTGAGGTTGCTGTGAGCTGTGACGCCATGGCACTCTACTGAGGGCAACATAATGAGACTCTCTCTCAAAAGAAAAAAAAAAGAAACTGAGAGTTCAGCAGCAAAAGAATTATAGGAAAAATTTACACACACCCACACATTAATAAGCGGAGAAACACTGTCAGGTGTTACAGTGTGCATGTGACTGTAGAACCCGTGTTCCTGATGGTTAAGGATTTTTGTTCTCTATTTTGTGGCCCTTGTTAAAATTCAGCAGTCCAGATTTTAGAAACCCAGATGCCTTGTTGATTATAGAAAAATATCTCTTCAGCAGAGGAGTGGGTTTTCCAAGGCATCCTCTGTTTTTTTTTTTTTTTGGCAGTTTTTGGCCGGGGTTGGGTTTGAACCCTCTACCTCTGGCATCTGGGGCCAGCGCCCTACTCCTTTGAGCCACAGGTGCTGCCCCAAGGCATCCTCTTTTTGTGTACTGCTCACTTTGGTCCACTGTTTGCCTGTTCTGCATTTGATATGTGAGACCTTATTGATTGTTTGGCTTGATGGGAATCATGGAGTGGAGACATGCTTTGTAATGACATTTGCCAGCTAGTGAAGTGGAGGTGTTTAGTATAAATATCAAATAAAGTATTTAGGCTCGGCACCTATAGCTCAACCGGCTAAGGCGCCAGCCATGTACACCTAAGGTGGCGGGTTCGAATCCCCAGCCC